CTATCACAAAGCCCACACTCACATCCTTTCGGGGCTCTAAATAATGGTGAATGTAAATAAATGATAAGCCTTAGCTTCCTCACTTATGTGAAATAGGCATATGTTTATTTTCAATTTTGAAGACTGACAGCAATCCTATTCACCGCTAAATTATCTCTGAATTCAAGAAGAATGCTGGATGTTTACAGTTGTAAGATAAATATGCCAGTTCGGCTCCAGACGTCACGCGTCTTCTCGATGGACTTCAGCGACATGCTGATAATCCATGGGTCCTCCAGTTTGCAAAGCCTGCCATGTGATGCGCACGGTGGCGGGCGGAGCGAAACTGTTATGTTATATGGTCTACAAGTTGGCGGAGAAAATTTCAGTCGTCACCTATAAGGCACTTTCTTTTGGAGTGGGATGAGCTTCATACTTCTTTCGTTCATTTAGGTGGGTCTAATATACAGGGTGGGCCAAACGCTAACTGCAAGTGCCAGCAAATGATCAGCCAACCGCTTTCCCCATAAGTACTACCCACGTATGAAGCACTGATTCGACTTGCTTTTAGTTAGTTGTTTCACAACTAATACCGGTGTATTTAGCGAAAACTTCTATGATACGACAGATCAGTTGTGCTTTTCCTTTTTTGGCACTCTATCTTAGCTAATATTCATCTTCGCAACACTTTTATGTACAGCATTTATGGCTTGGTTGCAAAATAGTCAGCCTGCTAGCTTGAGCCTGATGCTTCTGTGATTTTTGAATGGATCTGTTCCCGCCTCTGCTAGGGTGAAGGATGATTGTGTGAAAAAATTGTTAGTAGGATAAATAGTTGGTTGTTTCAGCACACAGTATCGTGAGGTATTTGATAATATTCTTGGCATTGGTCGTCTCAAAAACGCCATTTTTTCCAAAAAGTCGACGGCTGTTCAGCTTATATCATTGCGATTAAACTCAGGTATCAGAGCATAGGAGTGCTCCAAAATGTGAGCATTCAAAGAACGCATTCCTATAATGCTTGTGATATCTGCCGATTTCTACGTGTATGATACCAAGTAGCATTACACCTCTCATTCTCTTAATAAACTAGTTCGAAGCTGCACTGTATATCTGTGTTTTGTGCATTGTTGGTTCTGAACGGATCTGTTCAGGTCACACAACACAGGTTGTGTCTGGATATTTTTTATTCACTTACACCCTAACTAGTTCAAAGAAATCTGAAGAAGGCCGTGGTCAGAGTGGGAAGGAACTAGGAAGGAATCGAAAGCAGAACACAATGAGGAGAGGGAAGGTTAAAACTGTAAAAAATGCTTAGACTAGGAACATATACGATGGAAATATTGGATAAAGGAGGAAACGGATGGATGGATGGAATACATCAGATGTTCCATAATGTAATTGTAGTATTTAAAATTTCTTGCTATAAAAAAGAAAGAAAAACGAAAAAAAATGAAAGAAAAACGTAAATGCCTGAGCAATTAGCCAACCGATTTACGCGCTGCCTTCAGTGGCTATTACTCCAGTTTTCCTAGAACCTATTTTCGAGCTTTCTTCTTTTTTTCCGATTACGATCTTTCAAACGTCGAAGAACATGGAAGACCAACCAACAGAGGAAAGAGGCACGCTTTCTCAATCCACCGATCCACTGGATTACCTCTATCCTTGGTAACCACAGTTCAACCATCCCTCGACCGGCAATCACACTGCTCTACCCAGCGCCACTGAATTTGGATCTAGACAATGTAGCCGATTTTTGGTAAGAGGGTATTCGCCTTTCAAGATGATAGAATGAGGACGTCTCTGTAAAGTCGTAAAGATTTGGAAATATGGGATTTGAATCTGGCATGCTTGAGCCCGAATGAGCTCAATGCAAAATCTGACATCGTCATGTTCCTTCTGATTTCCCAGACCTTTCAGTGATCATCCTGCATATTCACCAGTGTTGGGGACTGGGTGGGGTGTGCTAGCAAATCACAAAGAACAGTAGCGTAGCCTGAACGATTCAGGAGTTTTGACAGCAAAAGCCCAACCTTTTCCAAGTCCAAACTTCTGAGATGCTGGTAGAACACGAAAGAGACCTTGCGCTGGGAACCGCCGCCCAGTAATACTAGGGTCAGTGAAGAAGGCAAACGTCGACAGCATAATGGCGAAGCGTTCAATTTGAAAGTAAAGCAAGACAAAGTCTGCTTTCTTTTGAGGTCGTTCGACGCACCTGGTGGTAAAAATTAATAAAACTGAATCCTTTCAGGCCAGCAATTCCCCCAGCTCTGTGTAGCGCGCTATCCTCTTGGCCAGCGAAAGACAACCTAGTCTGAGCTCTACTTCCCCTCAGGAAAAAAAATTACATACACCAAGTGGCATGACCTCAAAAAAGACTTCCGGTCCTTCTTCGATCAAAAGCTCAAGGAATATCAGATGAAACAGCTACTAGATTCCATAGAGAAGCAAGATTTCGAAGATAACAATGGTATGTTTAGATGAGCAAGCACTCGATATAAAAAGAAAAAAAATCATTTTTGAATAACACCCAAAGTGAGCCACTAATTATGGGAACTTAATATGTGTACTATTGGTTTTTATCATTTATTTATTATTCATTATTTATTAACGCTTACAAGTACAACGCAACACAAGGCATTACATTACATAGAATTTTCCGATAGTGCACGTGAGAAAGACAAAAGACTACCAACGGCAAGAGCCTAAAGGGGTACTGTCATTTAGGGGTAATGGGAAGGTTGAAGGCAAGACACTCGGTGGTGAAGAGCAGTGGCCCGCCAACACTGCAAGTCGCACCAGACATCAAGCGGCTTCCGGATACCATCTTAGTAGGTCCGCCAACACCACCGAGGCCCAATTTGGAATAGGGGAGACGGGATAGGGAATAACGGAACAAAACTCACGAAAATGTCATGGAAGCAAAACAGATGGGAAGCCAAAATAGGATCATCACAGAGCGCAAGATATATTAGGAAATCGTTTCTGAGCCTTTACGAAGATCAAACTTCAGCTTTGATTCTTATTCTCAACAAGAATGAAAACTGAATATACCGAGAACGAAATAATTCCAGTTTCTAGTACCATCCCTGAGCAATCATAATTTTCTTCAGTTTGTTTCGAAAAGAATGGACAGAGCTAGAATTGACCACCGAAGATGGCAGGTCATTCCAGACAGAAATGACTCTCTGTGTGAAAGAATCACGGAACTCTGTCGATCTAGTTTTTTCTCTCAGTATCCTAAAGTCGTGACCACGTGAACGCCCAATAGTAAGAGATCTATGAGAAAATATGTCAAAATCTAATTCACAGGAAAGTTTATACACAAACTCATAATCAAGCATTTTCCTCCTCATTTCCAAAGTATTAGAATTGAGCAGCAATAATCTTTCTTTATAGGATAAGTGGAACAATCCTTTGCGTGCAAAAATTTTCTCAGTAAATTTGGACTGAACCTTCTCGATACGTTCAACCAAGTGTTTGTTTGATGGGCTCCAAACCATTGGACAGTATTCCAGTAGTGGGCGAACATATGTAGTAAACAGTAAGAACAAAGTTTCAATTCTCCTGGTCGAAAATGCTCGTAGAATAAAGTTGGCCTTGCAACTAGCTGAATGAACAATTTTGTCAATATAATTTTCGAAAGAAAGAGACCGTGAATAGAGTACTCCCAAATCACGCACTGTTTCCGCTTCTTTGAGTTCTGTACCACAAATCGAAAATGTGACATTCATTGGACGGAAGGAGCCTAACCGTAAAAATGTTGTTTTTTCAAGGAAATGTCAAGCTTCCATTTTTGTGACCACTTGGAAATGGAATCCAGTGCTTTCTGTAATAAGTGGGGTTCATCTATGCAAAAGATCTTGACATCGTCAGCGTATATCAAGCAGCACACATTTGGTGGAAGGCATTGTGGCAAGTCATTAATATACAAAGTGAACATTAGAGGGCCAAGACAAGTGCCTTGCGGAACTCCACTTTCCGTACTGTAAATTCGAGAACGCACGCCATTAAGTACAACTGTTTGCTTTCTGTTGGAGAGAAATGATTTCAAAAAGTTATAAAGACAGCCAGAAATACCCAACTGTCTTAGTTTTGCAAATAAAAGGGGGAGCGGTATGGAGTCAAAAGCCTTAGAAAAGTCTATATATGCTATAAAAACCGACTTCCTCTTATCAATAGCATTTTGCCATATAGGAATAGATGAAAGGAGTGCAGAGGAAGTTGATTTCTTTGGAAGGAAACCGTGTTGACACGGGCTTATCAGATTATTAGAAATTAGAAACTCTCTAAGCTTGCAACAAACAATTCGCTCCATAACTTTGCTGAGTGATGCTGTGAGGCATACAGGCCTGTAAT